GCTCCAGTAAAGCACATTTAAATGAAAATTACTATTAATTAAAAACATAATTTATTGAACATGATATAATAATTTCATATTTAAATTACTTTTAGAGGTTTGTATTCTGAATATAACCGGACTTTTCCTTTAAATCTGACTTTCCAGGTAATTCTAAGATTAGAACATCCTAGAACCAGAACCATCCTCTCTCAGGCCCAACTTCTCTGAATCAGAACATTAATGCGGCTCTTTAAAGTCATCTTTAGCCGCCGTCTGTGTTTTTGTGTAGATCTGATATTTTAGTCGAGCTTTCAGAGCCAGTTTACATGTGGAAATGCGTGGGCTGCGTTGCCTCGTGCTGAGGTGACAAACTGGAACAAACCACTGAAAACAGAACTTCTGCTGCTCTATAGGGGACGGTGAAAATGGCGTCCCAAAGACCAGACTGCCTCGTTTTCTCTCATCCATCAGACAGAGAATGACTTAAGCCCTGATGCGTTGAGCTACAGACGTTACAGTAATACATTCGAATATTCAAAACGGCCTTTAATCTGCTTTAAGAAGCTGTTTTTCCATGACGAATATCATGTGAGCTCAGCATGGCATGAAGTCGCTCTCTATTAACCAGTCATGTCTGCTGAGAAACCTTGACCTGACGTTTCCCCTGGAAGGCAGCAGCTCGGCGAGGCGGACGCCTCGATGCTCGCTTCCAGAACTCATTTCAAAATCTCCTAAAAACCAGAGAAATAAATGACCTCCTGCTTCTTTAGTTTCATCAACGTCTCCACATTTCATCTGTATGAATTTATCTCAGCATGATTTACATTTTCACACAAAGAAATAACCCCCACAGCTTAATGCTGCCACCGCCGTGTTTTTGCAGCGATGTGCAAACAAACCATTTGAGATTCTGACTGAAAAGCTGAGGATGTTTCATTAAACCCAGAAACTGTTTCTCTGCTTTGGGAGATTGCAGTCAGACCAGGAGGTTTCTGTTAAAGACAGAAAAATTCTGGTTCACGGTAAAAGACATGCAGGAAACACAGCAGAACATCAGCCAGTAGTTCCACTCAGCACTAGTTTCTGACTCGTCTTTTTAGCCATTATGGAGAAACTCTAAAAGAGTTTAAAAAAAAGACACTTTGTTTCCAAGTTTTAAGACGTTTCTCTTCCCATCCAGGAAGATTTTTCAATTCAAATGTCAGAATTAGCAGCAGAATTGCCTTGTTTTGACTTAGAAAACATGCAAAAAGCAAAAACAAGGCTTAGTTGCGCTACTTTATAAAGCAACCCTATTTCTGACATTTTGAATTAAAAAATCTTCCTGGATGGGAAGCAAAACATCTTCAAACTTGGAAACACATTTTTTTTTTTACTTTTTTTGGAATGACTATGACCTGGATGACTGAGAATCTTCACCAGCATGTTAGAGAAATCTCATAAGCTCCAGGATATTTATTCCCGTCTTTCTACTCGTTCATATCTTTGAACAAAAAGACGGACCGGATGATCAGAAAAATCCCTCTAGTCTAACTGAACTTTGCTCCAGCTTAATCAGATCAGAAATTAGACCTCCGCTGGTTGTCCTGACACCTGACCCTTTCACTCTACATGTAGGCCTACTTCCTGTCCGATTAGTGTCAGGAGAGATCAATAATATGAGCTAAAAAATGTGTTAATAAAATTTTGTTTATTTCTTAGCTCCAATTCACATCATGTCATCTCAAGGCACTTTCCAGTTCACCAGATCATCCAGTCTGATTGATTCAAAGTTTTCTAAGGAAAACCAGTTGATTGCATCGACTCATTGACTCTTCAGCAATCCCTCACACTAAGCATGCTTGTAGCGACAGTGGAAAGGAATAACTCCCTTTTAACAGGAAGAAACCTCCAGCAGAACCAGGCTCAGTGTGAGCGGCCATCTGCTGAGGCCCACTGGGGTTCAAGTATATCAAAAGTTAGTTGATAAAATATAGAAATGTGTGTGGAAGAAAACGAGCTGTGAAGTTAATTTTTTTTTCATGAGACATATCGGACTTTTTAAGAGAAAATGTCACTTTAACCTCCCGCTGCTTTCTTCTCTGTCTACATTTCTAGGTCATCTAGATTTGGGTCGGTTAAAGCAGAACTACAGACGTTAATAAACTGAACCTATACCTGTAGGTTAGGGTTAAGGTGAAGCTGAATCCTGCAGGGCGACAATCATAAACCAGACTCCTAAAACCAACGTCGATTAACCTTTGACACAACCTCCATCTTCAGTTTGTCCTTTAGATCGGAATCATTCACCCAGGAGGGGCCGGTTGGTCCCACTGGGAAGGAACCGACAGGAGAACATCTACCAGGGAGGTTTTTTTTTCTTCCATTTTTGAGAAAGTGAAAATGTCTTGAGAGCTGTACTGTACGACATTTCTTTTAGTATATATGGTGTGTAAAAAAAAATGACAATAAAGTCTAAGTGTTTTACAGAGGAAAGTAAAGTTTGAGGAGACCTTAAGATACCCAAACCCTTCAGCAGCAATTAAAACTAGATCAATAGAAGGGAACATCAGATCCATGATGCTTACAGAGCAGGAGATCAGTCTTCATAATTTATTGGTGAGAAGTTTAGCTTTAAATAAAGTAAAGATTTGATGGTGATTGGAGGCAGCGTGGCCCCCCAGGCTGAACTAAATCCTTTACTTTAAGAGGGTTTAGGTATAAAAACAGCTCCTGTTGATGTTGATCCTCTAATGAGGGTCAGATGTTTGAAATGATTGGTTTCTAGATTGGGCCCCAGGGGCCCCGTCCCTGCAGGGCCCATGACTCCATCATGTCTCCTGACCAAACTATGACAGGAACTACCAGCTGAACCGGGAGAGAGAAAAAAGATGAATATGTTGAACTCAGATCGCCTCCTAATAACTAATCTAACGGTTCCGCCTCATTCTGCCCTCCTAAAGGAGAAGCAGCGGACCGGGTAACGGGAACCAGACCCCCGCTTCTGACCCACATCCACACCGGCAGGGCTCGTTCGGGCCCGGATACTCACGCTCTGTGCCTGGAGAAGCCCATGGATAACAGCACGTCCAGGTTGGAGCTGGATTTCACCGAACCCCGCCGGCTTTGCCGGAGCCTCCGGGGGAGAATCTTGCTGTACAGGTCCTCCTTGGCCGCCATGGTCCGGTCCGACACAGAGTCCGTTAGAGCGGGCGGGTCAGAGCCCCGGTTAGTCCATGAGCCCCCCGGGAGGGTCCGCAGGAGCCGAGCAGCAGCGCGGAGCAGTGAGGGAGCGGAGAGCGGCTGCTTCTCCGCCCACAGGAGGAGAGGAAACGACAGGCGAGCCTTTAAAAGGAGCGGACCCACAGAGCCGCACCGAGAACCGAAGGAAAAAGCTGCTGAAATCGGCTTTATTTGGATATAAAATTAAACAAACATCTGGGAAGAAATACCGCCTATACAAAATAATGATTCATTTTACATTTTTCACAATAATTTGATCCGGTCCAGTTTAAAGAATGTCCTCTAACTGATGTTCCTCATTCAGCAGGACTCAGCGGATCTGGATCTGCTGAGTCCTTTTCACACCAATCACAGCGTCACTTCCTATCGGTGGCCGGGGTTTGGCCCCGGGGGGCCTCACTGGGCAGCGGTGGGTGGCTGCTGAGGGCCTCAGACGGGTCGTAGGGGGCGATGACACAGAAGACGCAGCCTGCCTCCTGGAAAGCCTGCCGCATCTCCACCTGGCGGACAAAATGCGCACTGCATCAGAACCGAACCAGTCAAACACAGCTTCTCTATGATGTAAGGAAGAAATGAAGAATTAATGACTGTTAGGGATCAGATCCTGAGGACATTTGAATGTCAAAATGATTGTTATCAGATATGTAAACATGTGGTTATAAAAAGAAACATGACCTTTTATTTGGCTCCTCAGATAAAATCAGACCAAACCCCCTTCTGTTTATGGTCAGTGAAGCCTGAATTATTTTCAGTTGATAAAAGACAGAATATTGAGAGAAAGGAGGATTGTTTTCAAATATATTTTCATAAAATTGTTCCTTAAATTCAAAAAGTTCTTCTGAGTTTTTGCTAGAATTACAATCTGGGTCAAATATTCTGTGTTTGTTTCCCACAAGATTCAGTTTGACAGAATTTAGACCCTTTGAATTGTCTCCATTGTAAATAAATAAATAAATGCTTAGAATGTGTAAAGGAGCGCAACCACAGGTCATTCATCCCTGCTGCCATCAGACTTCACAATGCCTCTGCACTATAACCTTGTCAGGATTTGTTTGTGGATCGTTGACCCAAAGCAGAGGCAGGAAGGCAGAGGTGAATTGTAAGTAGATTTAATGATGAGTAACTAAAAAACAAAGTCCGAACGAACAGGCAACCAAGAACCCAGAATCCAAAAAAAGTCAACAAAAAAAACAAGAAACCAGGAGTCAAAAAATACCAAAATTCAAAACATGAAAAATAAGTAAAAATGAACCAGAAACCATGGAGACGTCAGGGGAATCACAACACAAGGAGGAAGGCTCAGAGAGACGGAGTGGAGGGAGACTGAAGAGGTTAGACAAGGACCCAGCAAAGAAGAACTGAAGAGAGAGGGCTTTTAAAGGAGACTGAGAGGGCTAATGAGAAGATTGGGAACAGGTGAGGACAGAGAAAAAAGAAGCTAAGGAAAAGGGAGAACACAAGGGGGCAGCAGAGGACAACAAATGAAAAACCTGGAAACACAACAAAATAATAATTAAACCACTAACACTAGAAACCAAGGAGCAAAGCAAAACTGAACACTAAAAAGAAAACAGAACCAAGACTAGGACAGCAACTGAGAAAAAAACCAAAGAACACAATAAACTAAGAATTAAACCATAAAAACTTGGAAACAAGGAGAAAAGCGTGACTGGATACTGAAAAGAAAAACATGACAGAAAACAGAAACCTAACAAACCTGGTGTAATAAAACTGCAATAACTTAGACTATTTATCTGTTTAACAAACCAGAAACAGCACTTTACTGTACATAAGACACTTTATATGTAAGCAGGGGGGATTTACCATTAGGCACTACTAGGCAGTTGCCTAGGGCCCCAAGTTCCTGGGGGCCCCATAAAACTGTTTACATGTATGGTTAATACAACTATTGCTTATTTTTGCACATTAATTATGTTTTTGATAAAAATCCTTTTAAGAAAATGCCATCAGAACATTTATAATATTAAGTGTGTCTCAGGCCTCGTCTTTTCAGACCCCTCTAGTACTTTTATTTAATAAAAGTGCCAAACACCAAATCTAGCAACTTTTTTCTGCTACTGGAGACTTTGGAGACAACATCTAAAAGCAGCGAACTCTGCTCTCCAGAGCAAGTAGATTGGTAACCCCGCCTCCTGCTCTCCTCTATCTTGTCTGCTGTCATGATTCATGCAGCTATTATTTCATCCAAATGAAAAATGGAGAACAGAGAAGCACATCATGGCTTGTCTACAGTGAAAAGAAG